GATCGGAGTATTTGGCATGTGTCACCCTTGTGACCCTCACACCGGCCCCCCACTTTTACCCAGGAGATCTCTCAAGAGCCTCTTAGAAAGTTGGGCCAAGGCAAGCAGCGGATCGGATTTGGCCAAAGCGCGTTCCGAGGTATTAAGCCGCCCGGGCTTGCGGGGCCTGGAGTTCGGGTGAAAGCCGTCCACTAGGTGTCAGGAGAGGGCGGGGGGGGGGGGGGGGGGGGACGCGCGCCAAGCGCGGGGAGCGGGGCTCGGACACGAGGTCGTCGTGCAGAAACCAAGAAGGGGCCTCCCCCACACTTTCTGCCCGGAGCCGCCACCACGCCCCCTCCTCCCCCTCCACCCCCTCCCCGCTCTCCCGCTTCTCCCGGGCTGGCCCCGCCGACCCCGCGGGGTCCCACGCGCCGTCCACGCACTGCCTAAAGCCGCCCCTCCGGGCCCGCCCCAGCCAAACCCCGCCCGGCCCCCCACGACTCCGCCGCAGGGCGGGGTGCAGGGCGGCGCCAGGTTCCCCCCCCCAAGATCCCCCCCTCACTGCGCCGCTTCCCCGGATCCCCCCCACCCGCCCCCCGCCGCGTTACCCGCGCGCCCGAGGCTCCGCGCTGCGCCGCTCCGGTGCGCGCCGGCTGCGGCCGCCCTCGGTTTCAGTTCCTGCCGCGGCCGCCGTGGGAGTGTGGGCGACCCGACTCGCGGGCCTCCCCGCCCCGCCCCGGCCCGGCCCGGCCCGTCCGGTCCCGTCCCCTCCCCTGCCCCGCGTGCTCTCCTGCCTTTCCAGTCCGACGGGCCGCGGGGGGCCGGGCCCGACGCCCGCGTCCTTTGGAACTCGACGGGGGCGGAGACGGGGGCGGGGGGGATTTTGCTTCCCGAGCCGAGGGGTGCGGGACCCAGGGGTGCTGGGGCGAGGGGGCGCCGCGCCGGAGGAGGCCGCGCCGGGACGCGCCGAGGTAGCTGCAGTGTCCGGGCCCGAGCGGGGGTGGGGAGCGGGCGGCCTGGGTGGGACAGGAAAGAGGAGAGCAGCCGCCCTCGGCAGGTCCCCGCTCCCCCGGGAGGAAAGCCGCCTTCTCTGCGCCCGCCGCTGGCCCCGCGCTCTCCATCCGGAGCCGCTGCCTCCGCGCCCGCCCCGAGGCTGCACCCGGGCTGACAACGCCGTCCGTCCGCCCGACCTCTCCGGCAAACCCGCAATTCATGTGCTTGCGTTTGCGGAGATGTTATGGACGTCGGTCTGGTGCCATGAAGCTTGGACTGCAGGCTCGCTTAGTGGGCACACCTGTCGTAGGGCACGCAGCTGAGGGAGGAGAGAAACATGCACCTGCGGGTACAGTATTCCTTGTGCCATCTTCGTCGGAGGTTCAGTGTCATCAATAGACGGGTGCCTGTGGCTCATGCTTGTAATCCTAGCTGCTCAGGCGGCTGAGATCTGAGGATCCGGGGTGGAAGCCAGCCCGGGCAGGAAAATCTGTGAGGCTCTTATCTCCAATTAACCACCAGAAATCTGAAAGTGAAGCTGTAGCTCAGGTTGTAGAGCACCAGCCTTGCGCTAAAAAGCTAAAGGCACAGAGCTCAGGCCCTGAGTTCAAGCCCCAGTACCAACACACACACACACATACACACCCACAATGTGTCATGAAGTCGATTCAAAAGTCCCAGCTCCTCTGGTTACACATTATTTATAAAATTCTTATAGGGCTGGGAAGGTGGCTCAGTGGTAGAGCACTTGCCTTGCATGCATGAGGCCATTCCTCAGCACCACAAAAGCAGAAAAAGCTGGAAGTGGCGCTGTGGCTCAGGTGGTAGAGCGCTAGCCTTGAGCTGAAGAGCTGAGGGACAGCGCCCAGGCCCCATCACCAGGCAAATAAAATAAAATTCGTATAAAATTCAATTTCCATTTGTTAAATTACCCCCAATTTAAGTGATAACTACCTTACAACTGTGGTTATAGCACATGATAAGCACTTCAACTTAAATATGTGTGTCACATTCCAGCTGCTTTTTGACTCACTTCTTTGTGGCAGGAAATGCTCTCCCTTTAACCAGAGGAAGTCAGTGACTAAGCGGATGTAATTCTATAGAATGCAGGCTCTGTGATGGCTCTGTGGAAGCTGAGACATGTCACTTCTTCATTTCTCTTTCCTGGCGCAATGCCTGTCTTATACCAGTATTTTTGTAGGGATGGGATGCGTTGATAAATAGGAGGCATTAGAACTTCACCTGGCACATACTGAGTGCCCAGGAAATGCTATAGCTATTCTGATCTTGCCCACTCAGGATTGCACCTCTTGTGCTTACTCTGCCTCCCATCCAGTGACACAGACCTCTCTGTTCCTTTCTTCTGATGAGCTCTGTGGCTTTGGAAATACATATTTATACCTATCAATTGGAAAAACAAAAAACAGGCATCACCACACGCTCAATCTAGTACAGGAGATTGATCTGAGTACAGGAGATTGGGCTTTAAAAATCATGGTTCCAAGTCAGCTAGGTCAGAAAAATCCTTGAGCCTCTCATTAAGAGTTAACCAGTAACATGCCAACATGGAGGTGTGGCTCAAATGGTAGAGGGCCAGCCTTGAGCAAAAAAGCCCAGTAAGAGCTAAGTTAAAGCCCCAGTACCTCCTCCAAACAAGTAGGAAGATGGCTACCCAGGTTCACCTGGGTGTAAGTGGGATCCTACCTTGAAAATAATCACCACAAAAATGGACTGGAGTTATTGCTCAAGTGATAATGTTCCTGACTAGAAAGCACAAGGCACAGAGTTCAATTCCCAGCACTACACTACACTACACACACACACAGGTATTTTTCCACTGGAAAAAATAACTCAGTTATTATCATCTACCCTGGCCAGAAGGAACCAGGATATAGGCACGAGCCACTGGCACCTGGCCCAATGTATTCTTTATTACTTCATTTTGTCAGTTTGTTCAGAAGACCTAGATAAGGGCATTTCCTTTGGTAGTCATTGTTTCAGGAAATAATGCAATCAGATGCTAGTCTCTCAAATCTACTCTAGAATCATTCCCTAAAACCTGTGTCCAGCAGGGCACTGGTGGTACGTGCCTGTAATCCTCTCAGGACGCTGAGATCAGAAAATCATGCTTTGAGGTCCAGGATGGAAAACCCATGATATTCTTATCTTCAATTAACCAACAAAAAGCCAGAAGTGGAGCTGTGGCTCAAGTGATACAGTTCTAGTTCTGCACAAGAAAAGCTCAGGGACAGCACTCAAGTCCTGAGTTCAAACTTAAGGGCCTGCACAAAAAAGAAAAGAAATTCGGACACCGGTGGCTCACACCTGTAATCCTAGCTACTCAGGAGGCTGAAATCTAAGGATTATGGTTCAAAGCCAGCCCCAGCAGGAAAGTCTGTGAGACTCTTATCTCCATTAAATCACTAGAAAACTGGAAGTGGTACTGTGGCTCAAGTGGTAGAGCGTTTGCCTTGAGCTGAAGAGCGCAAGGACAGCGCCCAAGCCGAGTTCAAGCCCCATGACCAACCAAAAAAAGAAAAAAAGAAAAAAGTATCTCCTTCTAACTTATCATTAAATACTATCAATTCTGTGTCTGCTCAACATTCTCTACCTCTTTCAAGGTCTTACTGGCAGAAATTTCTGCCAGTAAGTATAGCTCAATCCTAGGTGCTGGGTGGACTGAGATTGAGAGGATTGTGGTTCAAGGCCATTTCCAGCAGAAAATGCATGAAACTCCATCTCAATAGCACACACTGGCTATCCTAACTGACAGGAAGCCTAAACTAGGTGAATGGTGGATTTAGCTCTATACTCTGGTAGGAAACAAGACCCTATCTCAAAATTAACCAGCAAGAAATAGAGCTAGAGGCATGGCTCAGCAATAGAGCACCTGTCTAGCAAGCATGAGACTCTGAGTTCAAACCCCAGTACCAAGAAAGAAAAAAAAAGTAATAAATATATATATATACATATATATATACATTTCTAGTCATGGGGCTTGAACTCAGCCTATGCACTGTCCCTGAGTTCTTTTGCTCAAGACTAGCACTCTACCACTTTGAGCCACAGCTCCATTTCTGGTTTTCTGGTGGTTACTTGGGGGTAAAGAGTCTTACAGACTTTCCTGCCCAGGCTGGATTCGAACTGCAATCCGCAGATCTCAGCCTCCTGAGTATCTAGGATTACAGGTGTGAGCCACCAATGCAAAGATCTTATTTCTTCGTCATCATGTTTATTTAGTAACCAGTACTGGTGCTCAGTGCTTGGCAGAAGTGTTTGTTACATGCTTACTGAATAAATGAAGAATGGTGACATCATTAATTCTATGAGCAAAAACCAATATAGATTTACATGTCTGCACATGCATGTTTGTCAAGTAGTAGTACTTCAGAATCACTTTTTAATGTCAAATGGTAGGATTTGAATCTGGAACTTTTGATTCCAACATGGATGCTATTTCCACTGTATTGTCGTGCTTTGTATCTATTCTCTTAAGAGTTTCATATCTACTTCTATCTGGCTCAGATCCTTATAATATCAGATCATTAGCACTAGATCTAGCTCTAAAATATAACCCCTTTCCCAGAGCATTTGTTTGTTTGTTTGTGGTGCTAGTCCTGGATCTTGAACTCAGGGCCTTGGCATCATCTCTGAGCTTTTCTGCTCAAGGCTAGCACTCTACCATTTGAGCCACAACTTCACTTCTGGCTTTTTACTGTTAATTGGAGATAAGAGTCACAGACTTTCCTGCTGGTCTGGCTTTGAACCATGATCCTCAGACCTCAGCCTCCTGAATAGCTAGGATTAGATATGAACCACAGTGTCCAGCTGAGTATTTACTTTTATGTAGTAACACATCTGGATTGAGGACAGATACAAGGAAGAAATTAGTCAGGAGGTAGGGTGAGCTGAAGTCAGAGATATGATCAAAACTTCCTGAACCAGTGTCAAAATCAATAACCTTGTCTAAGTGGAAAACCAGTCCTGGGCTGCAGCAACACCCTGTGTCTAAACAACGCATTCACATGTAGTCACAATCATACTTTATTTAACAATTTGAAAATCTGTTCGTTCCAGTGGTTAAGTTGAAGGTGTATTTGTTCATGATCATGCGTGTTTGTGATTATGTGTCTGTGCATGGGCAAGTGGATGTGTCTACAGCTACTTGCATTCTTTAGTCATTACAACCCCAGTATAATAAAGTCTTATTCTTCTAACAATGCTCAAGCCTGAATTAAAAAAAAAAAATCCAAGTCAGACATTCTCCTCTCCCAAACCTTCCTCCCTCCCATCTTCCTCAGCCTCCATTAATGAATTGCCAGGTCTTTAGAGATTCCCAGCATTCATTTGGCCTGAGAATCTGGCATTATGCCCCTTGACCTCTTCCCTCTGCTTAAGGGGCTTCTTTGGAGAGATAGGGGTTGGGAAGTCTTGGCAGTTTCTCTTCAGAGTTGTGCATTCTCACTTGGACCTGCCTGGAAAGTAAACATGATTGCATTAGATACTGATCTGCACTGTCACCAACCATCAAGAGGGATGAAAACCCAATTGCTTGACTTCTCTTCAATCCTATTTCATGTTATGCTACTGGCCTCTACTGCGAGTGGTGATTATTGTAATGACTGGGATTATTGTTGTGGATTCTGTTCATTACATCACTTGCCTCTCGGTATTCACCAGTGAAACCATTTCACTTCAGCAGTTATTGTTTTCCTAAGGAATGGCCACCACAAATTGGGCAAAGTGATCAGGTGTTTTTTCCTTCTTCTTGGACGCTGGGGAAAGTCTGGAACAAATTTTCTGGCTCATCCTTAATAAGTGTATCTAATATAATGTATTTTTTGTACTTGCCTAATTCATGGTTCCATATTCTGTCACTATTTTGTGTCAGACTTCTGAGTTTATTGTGCTTTCGTGTGTGTGTGTGTGTGTGTGTGTGTGTGTGTGTGTTTGTACGTGTGTGTCCATCCTGGGGCTTGAGCCAAAGGCTGTCCTTAGACTTTTCATTGCAGATCAGATTCTCACAGACTTTCCTGCCCATGCTGGCCTCCAACCACAATCCTCAGATCTCAGCCCCCTCAGTAGCTAGGATTAGACATGAACCACAGTGCCCAGCTGAGTACTTTTATGTAGTAACACATCTGTATTGAGGGCAGGCACAAGGAAGGAATTACAGTCAGGAGGTAGGATGACCTGAGTAGCTAAAATTGCAGGCAGGAGCACCTGGTTTATTGTGCCTTTTTCTGTGTGAGCTAATTAAATATATGAGAGATATCTATGAAATTGGTATAGGCTTTCTGACATAATTACATAAATACTTAGGAGATGAGGTTAGTGTAAGGCCATGTGTTGGGAAATGTGCACAGAGACTCTGTAAAGTTCTAGTTCTGCTTGGTTCCTTGGCCTCACCCCCTGCTTTGTCTTAGGCCCTATTGCTTACTACCAGATTCTTTTTTTTTTTTTTTTTTTTAGTAAGTTTTTATTGTGAAAATACTGTACAGAGGGGTTACAATTACATGAGCAAGGTATTGAATACATTTCTTATCAGGCATTGTTTCCTCCTCCTTTGTTTTTCCCCTACCATCCCTTTCCTCCCATCTGTACAACTGCACTTCCCACTCCCCCCCTCCCCCGCCTAAATTGTAAAGTTTGTTTTTTGACATAGCTTCTTGTACATCTCATTGTTGCAATGGGTCAACTTGTATCCCTATGTAAACAATTTGTTTTTTCCCTTCCACTCCCCAAATTATACCAGCATCAAATACAATGAAAACAGGGGTTATACCATGGGGGAGGGACATACAAAGCTACAACAAAAAATCACATGGTACCTTATAAATACGTTAGAAACAATAGCAAGCAAGAAAAAAACCATTTGTGTCCTTATCTTGGGGTTCAATTCACTTAACATCATCTTATCTGACCTTTTCTGCTTGTCTCAGACATATACTAGTTATTGCAAATAAGAGAAACCATCTACCAGATTCTTTTTAAGGCTTGTATCCCACATAGCCAACCCCCTGGCCCATCTCACCACTCACAATGTCCTCTGTATACCTGGGACCTTACCTCTTCTGGAGGCTCAGGTGCTGTGACCTTGTTCTCTTCTGGCTCCACAGAGACAGGAAGTTGAAGGTCTTGGCCCTACAAAGACAAGAGTTCTGACTGGGAGATGGCTCCAACCCATAGCCCCTCAGCTTATGTGCTGCGGGTCTACCCTGCCTTTTGCTCTTTAAGGGTGACAAACAATACAAAGGGCAAATATGCAGTGTCATCTAGGCCTGAAGCTTCAGGGAAGGCCTTCCTCCAGGCCTTCAAAAGCGGGAAATGACTTGCTAGGACAGGAAACCAAGTCTCTGGATTGCAGTGCTGTTTCAGTGATGAGCCAGACTCCTTATGATCTGTGTGTCATGCATGCCTAGGTACCTAGGTGGGGTGTGAGGTCTTCAAACCATTAACCTCCTCAGGACTGTACTGTGCTTACAGGTCAGTGATCCTAAACCTCAGTGAGCAATTAGGAGACAGGGGAGGTATGATAGTTTCTTTGGGAAAAGCTCCAGGTTCTGAGCTCTGCCTAAAAACTTCTATGCAAGAAGACATAAACATTCAAAGGTTTGAAACAAATGTGTTAAGGCTGTGGTTAAATGCTCACTTAACAAGCTAGGAAGCCCTCAGTTCAATCCACAGTGAGTGTATGTGCGTATTGTGTACACATACATATACACACATATATATGTGTGTATATATATATATATATATATATATATGCACATATTATTTTTACTGCCTGGGATAGAAATGAATATGAATATGTATTCCAGGCAATATTCATATCTATCCCAGGCAATCCATATATATATGGAAATGTAAAATAATATATATATATAAATCCATATATACATATAAAAAACAGTATATCACTTGCCTAGTATGTGCAAGGCCCTGAGTTCAACCTAGCAGTAAAACAAAACAAAACCCCCAAACCTACTTTTAATTAATTTTTTTTTTTTTTTTTTGGTGTACCAGTCCTGGGGCTTGAATTCAGGGTTTGGGCACTATCCTTGAGCTTTTCTGCTCAAAGCTATCACTCTGCCACTTCAGCAAAAGCTCCACGTCAGCTTTTTTGGTAGTTAATTGGAGATGAGAGTCTCGTGTACTTTCCTACCTGCTCTGGCTTTGAACTGTGATCCTTAGATCTCAGCCTCCAGAGCAGCTAGAATTACAGGCATGAGCCACCAGTGCTAAATGTATTGTTAATTAAAATGTAATTGACTCACTATAAAATGCATCCTAAAATAGAACCAATTACTAACCGTGTTGGCAGCCAGCTTTCAGGTCTCTCTTAACCCTGGAGATGTGTCACTTTTCTCAGGGTCTGTTTACCATAGTCACAGCCTGATAAACTGAAGGGTGGCCTTCCTCCATCCCAGCCCATCCCACCACATCCTCCCAAAAGGGGAAGATTACATGAAGGTACATAACTGTAATCAGGGCATTTGGGAGGCTGAAGCAGAAGGATTAAGTTAAAGGGCAGCCTGCACAGCATTGAAAGACCTTATCTCAAAAACAAAAAGTCCAAAACAAACAAACAAACCCAAAAGACCCAAAGAAAAGAAAAGGAGGGGAAACTCTGGATGTTAGTTGTGGATTTATATTGGGAACTCCTTGAATTGGAGTTAAAAGAAGAGTAAGAATCTTTTCATGGGCTGGGAAGGTGGCTCAGTAGTAGAGTGCTTGCCTTACATGCATGAGGCCTTGGGTTCAATTCCTCAGCACCACATAAGCAGAGAAAGCCAGATGTGGTGCTGTGGCTCAAGTGGTAGAGCTGAAAAGCTGAGGGGCAGTGCCCAGGCACAGAGTTCAGGTCCTATGACCGACCAAAAAAAAAAAAGGAATCTTTTCATAATAATACTAGAAATAAGTCCTTTATAGAAGTTGGTTAGTCTAAGATTATATTATGAAATTAGCAGCTGTGAAGGTATTTAACAATCCCAAGATTCTGAGACTCCCCAATTCTGAGAATGTAAAATAATAACATCAACTATGGAGTCTTTTAATTATAGTAAAGATGATCTACATTGAGGTTATAAAAGAATAGAGAAGGGGCTGGGAATGTGGCTTGGTGGTAGAGTGCTTGCCTAGCATGCATGAGGCCCTGGGTTCGATTCCTCAGTACCACATACACAGAAAAAACCAGAAGTGGTGCTGTGGCTCAAGTGGTAGAGCACTATCCTTGAGCAAAAGAAGCTCAGGGAGACAGTGTCCAGGCCTTGAGTTCAAGCCTCAGGTCTGGCAAAAGAAAGGGGGAGAGAGAGAGAGAGATAGAGACAGGAACAGAGGACTGAGGTAGGCATAGTGGCTTGTGCCTGTAATCCCAGCTACCTAGGAGGCAGAGATAGGAGGATCACAGTTTTGAGTTCAGCCTAGAATAAAAAATGTTAAGTGAGGGATGTTGGAAGCATGGCTTAAGTGGTCGAGTATCTGTCCACAGGTGCAAGGCCCTGAGTTCAAGCCCCAGTACAGCAAAAACAAAAAAGAAAAAAGCAACAGCACAATAAAATTGAGCATGGTGACACACCTCTGTAATCTCAGCTATGCAGGAGACAAAGGTAGAAAAATCAGTTTGCCAAGTAGGCCTTGAGTTCGCGCGCGCGCACACACACACACACACACACAAGTACAGCCCAAACAAATGAAAGAAACAAATTGGGAAACTGGGAATGGTGACACATGCCACATAGGTAAACAGGAGGCAAAGATGGGAGAATCGTTAATTACAGAACAACCCAAGCAAAGGCAAAGGCAAAGCTGTGAGACCCTGCCTCAGAAACAAAACACAAACCAAAGGGTGAGGAGGTGACCCAAGTGACACAGTGCTTGTCCTGCATTTCTGGGGCTCTGAGTTCAATCCCCAGTACCACCAAAAAAGGAGTAAAGATCCAATCGGATTCCTTCTTACCTGAGAGGTGCTCAAGGAGGGGGGAGTGTAAAGCTCTTCTGTGCTGGGATTGTGGGTGGTCTCATTTTCCAAGGCCTCAGGAGTTCTCAGTGGCTTCTCTGGTGGTTCTGGATGAGGAGAGACCTCTAAGGAGGCCCTAGGACTTGGAGTCCCAGAGCTGGAGAGGACCCGGGGGCTGGTAGGTGAGCCCCCTCCAGAGGCAGGTGGGCTGGATGGCATGTTCCCTGAGGAGAGCCTGGGGCTCCCAGGGACTCTGGGTGGAGGAGGCCTACTAGGGGGTGCTGAGGTCCTCTGGATGGAGGCTTTCTTCTTTGGTTGTTCGGCTCCTTCACTTGAGGTGCGGGTCCGGAGAACTACTTCTGGGACAAATGATGGAGGCTGATGGGAGGAGGTCAGGGATGTGCCTGGTGATGGGGCAGGGGAGCGTTGGTGATCTTCCTCCTGGGGCTTGTCTCCCTCTGTAGTAGGAGAAAGTTGGGCCTGGGTTGAGCCACTACAGGTTGACAGAGGCTCTTCCTCCTCAGAGGAGCTTCCTTCAGACCCATCTTCCTCCAATCCCTCATCTTTTGAGGACTCTTTTTTGATATCCAAATCATCTTCGTTTTGAGCTGACTCAGGGGGCAGCTCTTCCTCTGCTGCCAAGATGGCTTCGCTCTCACTGGTCAAGGAGTTGGCAGAAGGACTTGTAGGTGAGGTTGAAGGGCTCAGGCTGGCCTCTGGAGACGTACGAACTGGGGAAGAGATGACTAAAGAGCGCTTGCTGTTGCTAGAACAGGAACCATATTCAGATTCAGCAGGGTCAGACTCTGAAGCCACCTCATTGTTCACACATTCATAATAATAAAACAGAAGAAGTGTATGCTGGTAGTTTGTGTCTTTAATCCTAGCTACCTAGGAGGTGAAGATCTGAGGATCACGGTTTGAAGCCAGCTCAGTCTGGAAAGGCTGTGAGACTCTTATCTCCAATTAACCATCAAAAAGCTGAAAGTGGAGCTGTGGCTCAAGTGGTAGATCACCAGCCTTGAGTGAAAAAGCTAAAGGACAGCACCTAAGCCCTGAGTTCAAGCCCTAGTACTAGCACTAGCACGCGTGTGCATGGATGCACACACACACAGAATAAAGCACTTAGAATGATGTTGGTTTTCAATTATGCTTATGCTATAAAATAGCAGAAATGATGATAACATTTTTATCTGTACCATCATCCCCATTACAGAAAAAGAGGGAAGAAAAACTGCTATAACAAATATTTCCTCAAGGGAAAAGATTCATGGGTGCTATAGAGTTGAAGCATGCAGATTTTGGCTCTACCTACTGATTTCTTTGCCTCAAATCAATATTCCTGGTCATTTGTGTACATGTGTGAATGGTGAAAAATTATCTGGCACGCGCAGGACTCCTCAGCTGAAATCTGACAAGGAACCATCTGCCTTTTTTTTTCCAGCTCACAAACTGCAAACAAATAGCTTTTTCATCATGCTTTTTGTAGTTTTGTGCCTTTCTGTTGGGGACTTTGCTATTTCCAACGAACTCAAGCTGATGATGATGTGCTATGTTACAGTAAAAACATGTGTGCAAGCCGGGCGCTGGTGGCTCACGCCTGTAATCCTAGCTACTCAGGAGGCTGAGATCTGAGGATCGCGGTTCAAAGCCAGCCCGGGCAGGAAAGACCGTGAGACTCCTATCTCCAATAAACCACCAGAAAACCGGAAGTGGCGCTGTAGCTCAAGTGGTAGAGCGCTCACCTTGAGCTGAAGAGCTGAGGGACAGTGCCCAGGCCCAGAGTTCAAGCCCCACGACCGACAAAAAAAAAAAAAAAACGTGTGCGACACAAACTACTTCAGGCATGAGTTGGGTGCTCTTGGCTTCGAGTTCCAATATTAATGAAGTGACAGCATTATTAGATAAGATCTTCAAATAAAAACTCACAGAAAGCAGGTTATGCAGTAGCTAGTTGATTAAAATGTTGTCACTGATGCTGGGAGCTGGGAGCCACACCTATAATCAGGTTGAGCCTGATTACTCAGGAGACTGAGCTTTGAGGATAGAAGTTCAAAGCCAGCCCAGGCAAGACAGTCCATGAGATTCTGATTTCTAGTCAAACACGAAAAAGCCAGAAGTGGAGCTGTGGCTCTAGTGGTAGAGCTGCAGGACAAGGTTCTTGCTAGCCCTAGCATCCTAGGACTCTCTTAAGTTTAGAAGGCTCAAGAACTAAGGAGAGGAGGGGGGAAACAATTTTGTTGGGTGCAGGTAACTCACATTTGTAATCCTAGCTACTTAGGAAGCTGAGTTCTGAGGATCAAGATTGGAAGCCAGCCAGGACAGGAAAAGTCTGTGAGACTCTTACCTCCATTTAACCATCAAAAAGCCAGAAGTAGAGCTGTAGCTCAAGTGGCAGACAGAGCACCAGCAAATTTATATCCTTTGGTTCTTGTCTCCTTAGACACAAGTTCTGTACTTCGAACATTTTGTGGATGTCACTAGGCAAAGACTGAGTCTCCTATGTTCACTGGATTCTTAAGGCCTTTTGCATAGTAAGAACTCACTGAAACTTGCCAAATAAAAGCTTTTTTCTTTTTTGCCAGTCCTGCACTTGAACTCAGGGCCTGGGCACTGTCCCTGAGCTTCTTTTGCTTAAGGCTAGCACTCTACCACTTGACCCATAGCACCACTTCTGGCTTTTTCTGTTTAAATGGAACCCTGGGCTTCATTCATGTTAGGTAAGCACTTTACCACTAAGCCACCTTTGCAGCCCTAAATGAAAGCTTTGGAAAAAGCAAGGAATCATATCCCAAAGGACCAGCAAGTTGTTGACCCCATTATGAAGGTGAAAGACATCATCCCAAAAAGCAAAAAAGTGAGCCATGCAGATTGGTAAAAAGATATGTGCAATGCATACAATGAAAGGATTAGTATCCAGAATATGCCAATAAAAATATCATAACCACTTTTCCAAAAAAGGGCTAACAGGGCTGGGAAGGTGGCTCAGTGGTAGAGTGCTTGCTTTGCATGCATGAGGCCCTGGGTTTGATTCCTCAGTACCACATAAGCAGAAAAAAAACAAGTGGTGCTGTGGCTCAAGTGGTAGAGCGCTAGCCTTGAGCTGAAGAGCTGAGGGACAGCGCCCAGGCCCAGAGTTCAGGCCCCATGACCAACCAAAAAAAAAAAAAAAAAAGGGTTGACAATCCAAATGAAAATAGGGAAAGGATAAATAGGAAAATCACAGAGCGGGACCTTACATCACTAACCATACCATGAAAAGATGCTCAGGGGAGCTAGCAATTGTGGTGCTTGTGGCTTTTAAAACCACAAAGAATTTCATTTTCTATCATGAGCTCGGGAGAATTAAGAAGTGAGAGAATTTCAAATGCAACAAGAACATAGATGCACATGGGCTCCCACCCATGGCTGGCAAGTGATAAACTGGAACAATGGCTTCATAGAGCATCTGGCGATGCCTATTAATGAGGAAGCCCTGGTAACACACTGTAACTCCAAAATCCCATTTCATGTAGAGACCCTAGAGAAACTTAACAGAATTCACAAGAAATGGCAGTCAAGGTGTACACACCGGTAGTCCTAGCACTCAGGAGGCCAAGATATGAAGACTGAGTTCAAAGCCAGCCTACATTTTGTTTGCTGAAACAACCTAGTGAGTCTCCTCTATTTTGATCCCCTTCAATCTCTTTTCCCTTGCTGCAGCTCTAATGATCTTTCTGAAAGGCAAATATGTTTTTGTGTGTGTGTGTGGGGGGGGGTCCTGTCATGGGGCCTGAACTCTGGGCCTGGGCGCTGTCCCCCAGCTCTTCAGCTCAAGGCTAGCACTCTACTACTTGAGCCACAGCGCCACTTCCGGCTTTGTGCAAAGCCATAGGTTTGATCCTAACACCACAAATGAATGAATGAACAAATGAAACCAGAACTTTAACAGCCTTTCTTGCTTCCCACAGCCACAGCAGTTGAAGCGCCTTCTCTGTGAGCTCACCCAAGGTCTGGTCCTCACCTCTGCTTCTGCCCACCTCCCAGCTCTGCAAAATGGCAGCTGCATCTCTGTCTGTCCACTCTCCTGGCCAGCTCCTCCCCCTCTGTCAGCTCTCCAGCCCGGCTTGTTCCAGCAAATCCTGATCCCATTAGACTGGAACTAGGGCTCCTTTTGTTTCTCCATGGGTTAGCCCAATCGAAGTACATTATGCCTGTTTTGTAATCTCCTCTTTATCTTCTCTATTAAAATTTGATAACCTTGAAGAGAAAAAGAGAGAGACAGCGACAGAGAGAGGCAGACAGAGACAGAATTTTCAGGGCAGCCTTGGCTACCTAGTGTCAGCCTTTCTCAAAACAGAACAAAATAGAACAAAACACTGAAGAAGAATATATACAGTGTAAGTTCATTTATATAAAATTTAAGAATATGAAACAGCATTTTGTGTGTCACTAAGTGACATAAAGTAAAAAAGACATGCACAGAAATACTAAATACTGAATTAAACCAGGGGTTACTGTGGTGAGGGCAGGAATGGAAAACTGAGGGAAAAAGGGACATTGGAAGCTTCAACTACATTTACAATAGTTCTTAAGTCTGGTGATAGGTATATGGCTACTTGTGGCCCTATTCCTTATACTTTTAGTTATGTCTGAAAGATGTAAAAAAATTATATATATATAAATATTATATCTGTGTGTATACACACACACACACACAAATGGAGTGGGGATAATTGTGGGGCTTGAACTCAGGGTCTGGGTGCTGTCCCTGAGCCTTAGTGTGCTCAAGGCTAGCACTCTACCAACTGAGCCACAACTCTACTTCCAGTTTTTAAGTGGTTAATTGGAGATAAGAGTCTCACGGGGACTTTTCTCCCCAGTCTGGCTTCAAACTGTCACCTCAGATCTCAGCCTCCTGAGTAACTAGGATTACAGCTGTGAGCCACTGGTGCCTGGCTATATTTTAAATGTGTGTGTGTGTGTGTGTGTGTGTGTTGTGTGTGTGTATATATACACACATATAGAGAGGGGGGAGAAAGAGAGAGAGAGTGTATGTGTGTGTGTGTGTGTGTGTGTGTGTGTGTGTGTGTGTGTGTGTCCACACACGCACCAGGACTGGGGCTGAGGCTAGAACTCAAGACCTTGTACTTTTGCTTTTTCCCCTCAAAGTTGGTGCTCTATGACTTGAGCCACAGCTCTACTTCCAGTTTTCTGCTAGTTAACTGGAGATAAGAGTCTCATAAACTTTTCTGCCTGGGCTGGCTTTGAACCATGATCCTCAGATCCAACTTCCTGAGTAGCTAGGATTATATATTATCTATGCAGAATTATAAATTTGCTATCAGCATAGCATGAACAACAAAGGTCATGTTGAGCAATATAAAGGAAAGGCCTGGATTCTGTACTGGAGATGAGCCTGTTGGCCTGTTCCCACGGGACAAGTGGTGCAGAAAAGTTGTGGAAGCTGCTTACCTTGACAATCCCTTCACCACAAAGACTTTGTTGGAATGTTGCTTCTCCAGTTTGCTCATCACCTCATAGAGATTGTGGTTCAGCTAGAGCCGGCAAGAAAGAAGACAATGTTAGCCAAATGGGAACGCCAAACTGTCCTCTCTGCCAGACAACTACCCCTCATAAGAACCCATCCCCCATCCACTCTGCTCTGCAATCGTTCCTCCACCTCCCTGTCACAGCACCCCCTCTTCTTTCTGATTTGTGTCCTGCTCCTCCCATCCTCCTGGCAGTTTTCTTAAATCATGGTCCATAACTAAGGGTCTAGTTTCTCTCAGGTGGTCCAGGGACTTAAGAGTCATCTTAATATTAGCTAGGCAAATCATTATTTAACCAAAGGAGCTATGGAGAGGCTGTGTGGCTGTGTGAATATAATATTGTAATAGCAGAGGATATCAGACTAGAAAAGACCTTATGAGGTCATGTTATATGGCAAGATAGGTGCTACTGAAGACTAATCACCTGAGAAACCCATTTGTGATTTGCCTCTCCCTCCTGCTCCCCAGCTTTCCTTGGCCTGAAGGCCTGACCTCTTTATTCATGCTAAAGCTTGACTTCAGATGCTCTTACACAGTTGCCAAGGGAAATGGAGAGAACTCTCTGATAACTTATATATATATAATGTTCTTTCCTAGAGTTCAACCCAGTAAATCCCAGGCTATTATTTAATCATGAGATAAAAGTAAAAAAAAAAAAAATCTGGGTTTCCAATACAGATATTTCAAGAAATGATGTAAATCAAGGCTGCCTTTTTATTTCCTAGAAAAATCTACCTAGAAGTTTCATTGGACCTGATGTCACTCACCTTGCTCATCTCTCTGTAGAAGACATCCCTCAAGTTGGAAATGTTCTGGAAGATGGTCACGTAACAACCAATGCGACTATTAGGAGGCAAATGACATACACATAGGGGACAATCAAGGAGGTCCTTGTTTGAAATATAAGGTCCTTAGGCCAGAACTCGCCAGCACCAAGGATCCTCAGAGAGGCACCCTACCACATCCAGGACCCCAAAGTTCTGGAATCTGAACTCATTAGTGATGGGCCGGGAATAGCTCTGACTCTTGTGAGCCAGTGTTAGCCCAGACCAACCCCATTGTTTAACAGAACTTCAGTTTCATGAAATTATCTGATCTGGGCTCTTCAAGTGTTGAAATAGACATGAAAGTGCTTTGAAGAATTTTTTTGAAAGGCTGTACAAACAGAAGACCATGTAATTATGATTATTATTATTATAGCAAGTTGTTATTCTTTCTCTTGATGCAATTCAGTACTAATATGCACGTGTGTACCTTAATAGAATTCTCCTGTAAATGAATTGGTGACATTTACATTGAAAGGAAATGTATTAAATTTCAATTCTATTTAAGTTTTAAGTCTCATCATTAATATTTTACAATAAGTATAGTTGTTATAAAGGCTACATTGTATCAGTTGGGCAGAATGGCACATGCCTGCAATCCAGCTAAGGTAGGATTATTATAGGTTTGAGGCAGCATAGGCTACATAGTGAGACTGTCTAAAATAAAATAAAGCTACATCACATGTAGAGTAATTTTAAGTAGCAATATCAATGGTCTTACTATGATATGTTTTACAGCATAGTTGTATAGTGAACACGGAATACAAGTAAAGCTGGCCAGGCATGGGTGGCTCATGCTCTTTAATTCTAGCTACTCAGGACGCTGAGATCTGAGGACCTGAGATTCAAAGGCAGCCTGAGCAGGAAAGTCAATGAGACTCTTATTTCCAATTAACCACCAAAAAGCCAAAAGTAGCTGTGGCTCAACTGGGAGAGTGCCAGCCTTAAGTGGAAAAGCTAAGGGACAGCACCCAGGCCCCGAGTTTAAGCCCTAGCACTAGCGCACATGCACATACGCATGTGTGCACACATGGGCGCGGAGGCGCGCGCGCACACACACACACACACACACACACACACACACACACAGAGTAAAGTTTCTGACCAGATTTCTCTTTCAATGTAGAAAACTTAAATCTAAAACACTTTCATCTAGTATGAAGTAAGGACTCTTCATTAACTATCACCTCACAGTTAATCTATGTAAATTTAGATGTCTACAAACCAAGCTCACTTGATATAGCACACACTTGAGCATAAAAGCAGATCCTTGCACTGTGCATGATGACAGCAGTTCCCTTGCCAAGATCCTCCCTACCCAAGAAGCATCTCATCTTCAGACCCAGAAGAGCTGGCAGGGCAAGGATGATTATCTCTGTATTGGAGGTGAAGAAACCAGGGCCTAGAGAGACAGGGTAGCTTGCCAGCATGTTAGTGGCAAGGCTGAGGCTACCTCCCACTCTTGGACCAGTGTTCTACTAAAGAGGTGCCAGATGTGGGCTGCAAATAGCTCAGGAATCCCGCCCTCTTGTGAATCTCAATTGCTACCTGTTATAAAGGAGGGGCAGCTCCTCCAATAGTTCCTGGTTCAGATCTTCAAAGACAATCTGGGCCTTGGTGAATTCTTCCTCTGCCTAAATGGTAAAAGAGACAAGACAATCCTCCTCTATTGTGACGCCATGACTATAAGCTGCCTCCTTCATCTTTTGTGGATTTCCAGGTACTCCTATCTCCTTCCCCAGCTCCATCTCTCCCCCACACTCCAGCCTGAAGACTCTGGCTATGCCTACAGTGGCTGGGTCAGAAGAAACCAGATTTCCTTTAGGTCACTTGATGCTGCATTTCCTGTACCCAGCACCTGCCACCCCTGGGGGGTGGAGAACAGGAAGGTCTAAGCAGGTTGTTTCATTTTGTTACCTTGGCAGTCTTGGCATCATCTTTCTTCTTAGCATTCTGCACTGCCTCCAGGTGGTGTCGGGCACTGTCATAGTCGACAAGTTTCCGACTGCGCTTGGCAATTCTCTCCTAGCTCAGGGTGATGAGAAAGAGTGCAGATGACATCCACTTGTCAGTGGCCAGATGTGTACAACAGACGCAGGATTCCTGGATCTTATTACCAAATTATTTCTAGCGGAAAGGAGAATATGTCCTAGGATCTCCTTCAATGCCTGAGAATAATAGGACTTCTCAGGTGTGTGTAATTCTACAGAGCATGTCAAAACCTGTGGCTCACACCTGTAGTCCTAACTACTCAGAAGTCTGAGATCTGAAGATTGTGGTTGAAGTTAGACTGGGCAGAAGTGTCCTCAAAACTATCTCCAATTAGCCAGGAAATGCTGGACTGAAGACATGGCTCAAGTGGTAGAACACAAGCTGTGAGGGAAAAAAACCTAGTGAAAGCTTGAGGTCTTAACCCTGGTAGTACTGGCACTAGCTAAACAAAAAAAATCTTTTTTTGGTTGGTTGGTGGTAGGGCTTAAACTCAGGACCTGGGAGCTGTCCCTGAGCTCTTTTGCTCAAGTCTAGTGCTCTACAACTTTGAGCCGCAGCACCATTTCTAGTTTTCTGGTGGTTAAGTGGAGATATGAGTCTCATGGACTTTCCTGCCTGGACTGACTTTGAACTGCGATCCTCAGAGTAGCTAGAATAATAGGCATGAGCCACCAGTGCCCAGAGTAAATAAATGCTTCTTATGAAACCATTATAAACTGATTTTCCTTCAGGAGAAACAACCTTGAGAATCTCACTAAACTGAAAGTCAGGATTTCTGGGTCTTAATCCCAAATCTGCCCATTATTGGCCTAGATCAAGGCCCATCTCTTCTGAAGCTTCAGGAACCTCTTCTGCTCTACACAAGCATCATTTAAAATCAGATGTTGAACTGAATATAAAGTGCTGAGAACTCTAAAGCACAGTAAAACATCATAAATTACTGTAAGTAGTGAGAGAGTCTACTCAATCTCATCAAAACTACTAGTTATACTGGGAGGAAAACAAACTAAGTATGTTATTAGCCCATCTCATCCTCTCAAACACATAATTTGAAAAGATCTGAGTGATCACCTTATCCAACATCTTCCTTTTTTGGTTGTCATTTTTTGGGGGTGGCGGGGATCAAACCTAGGACCTCATAAATGCTAGGCAAGTTCTACCACTGAGCCACAGCTCCAGTCCTGGTCTAATGTCTGATGAAGTTACTCTATAATGAAGCAACTCTACAATGAGGCAACTCTGACAATGAAGCAACTTTTCAATGCCTAAGATAAGTGTAAACAGAAGTTCAACTTCTAGAATGCAGTCAACAATTCAATGTAGATCCTACAAAATTAAGATACGGGAGGGGAGGGATGGGTGAGAATGATAAAAGATGCATTGTTTTTCTAAACTGCTTTGTTAAGTGGCAACTCCTTTGTATAACTACTTAAAGAAAAAATATTATCATTATTACTTTTGGAACATATTTTGGAATATATTTTAATTATCCTTAAGTAGTTGTATAAAGGAGTTACCATTCATGAAAGCAGTTTACAAATATAGTGCATCTTGATCAATGTCACCCCTTTCAACCTTGTCACCCACCCATCCCAACCTACCTCTTTCCTTATTTACCTTAATTTTAGGTTATGTATTGAATTTTTTGCAATTTAACAAAGCAGTTTATGTGAAAAAAAAAGAAAAATAAGATAAAATTAAAAAAAAAGAAGTTCAACTTGTATTTAAACAGAGAACAGACAACAATCTCAGACTGTACTGCATTTAAGTTTTAGAAAGCTTTAATTGAGAAGTCAAACTTAAGGGCTGGGGTTGTGGATCTAGTGGTAGAGCACCTGCCAAGCAAGCATGAGGCCCTGATTTGAAGCTTCAGTATTGGCCCTCCCTGCAAAGTTAACTGTTAGCATAAACTTAGAAACTTCAGTCTGCCTCCCTCTAGTTTCCTCCTCTTAATCTAAAATCAGCACAGAACCCGACAGAGTAGATGTTTAATAAATTTAGTTGAATGAATAAAGAAGGGGAATTCTGCCTTCTGAAATAATTTAGAATATGTTAAGTTCCCCTTTTATCTAACAAAATTTCAAGTATTTGAAGATAACTATCTTCTGAGTTTCTTCTTCTGTAAGATGAACTTTTAAAATTTAATTTAATTGTAAAGGTGATGTCAGAGGGGTCACAGTTACATAAGTAAGGTACTGAGTACATTTCTTGTGGAACATTGTTACCCCCTCCCTGTTTTCTTCCACTTTCCCTCCCCCCCAAGATGAATATTTTTAATCCTGTTAGTTGTTTCTCTTATATAAAAGGATGCCCTAGCTGGGTATGGTAGTGGACATCTATAATCTAAAGCAGGTGGATAGTAGTTTTGTTTCTTTTTAATTTTAATGTCAAAGTGATGTACAGAGGGGTTATAGTTACCTAAGTAAGGTAGTTCGTACATTTCTTGTCAAACTTATTTTCTCCCTCATTTTCCCCCAGTCCTCCCCCAGTTTTGGGGTGTGTGTGTGTGTGTGTGTGTGTGTGTGTGTGTGTGTGTGTGTGTTTGTGTGTGTGTGTGTGTGTGTGTGTGTGTGTTGATAACTGGCTTAAACACAGGGTCTAGAGCTCTTGACCATCTTGTGTCCTCATTGTGTGGCTGTGGTGTATGGTTCCCCCACCCACATCTCCCCACTACAGCTGCTAGCCCGCTACCATTTGAGCTATGCTTCTACTTTCAGCTTTTTATTAGTTATTTGGAGATAGGAGTCTCAAGGATCTGTCTGCCTGTGCTGGCTTTGATCCTCACATCTCAGCTTCCTGAGTAGTTAGGATTATAGGCATGAACCACTTGAGTACCAGAAAGCAAATGTAAAGCCAGTGTGCCTACACAGGAAGACTTGTTTCCAAGAAAAAAAAAAAAAGTATGCCTTGACTTGGATCTTATTCACTGATCATTGAGCCTGAAATCTGACTTTAAATAACCTTGTCTAACTCTCAACTTTAATCCTTCTCCTGAACTATGCAAGTAGCTCTATGGCTACTAGTAATATTTAACCTGATCTATTTTCTAATCAGTATGGGCAATCCACAGCCTTACTTCTGTTTTGTTTTTTGTTTTTTTGTGCTGGTCTTGGGACATGAACTCAGGGTTTGGGTTCTGTTCCTGACCTCCTTTTTACTCAAGGCTAATGCTCTACCACTTGGGCCACAGACCACTTCTGGCCTTTTTGGTAGTTTAGTGGAGATAAGAATCTCACAGACTGACTTTGAACTACAATCCTCAGATCTCAGTCTCCTGACTACCTAGTATTACAGGCGTGAGTCACCAGTGCCCAGTTCACAGCCTAGCTTTATTTATTTATTTATTCATTCATTCATTCATTCATTCATGCCAGTCCTGAGGCTTGAACTCTGGGCCTAAGCACCGTCCCTGACCTCCTTTTGTTCAAGGATAGCACTCTACCACTTGAGTCATAGCACCACTTTAAGCCTTTTCTATGATTTAACTGGAGATAGGAGTCTCATAGACTTTTCCTGTCCAAGCTGGCTTCCAACCACTATGCTCAGATCTCAGCTTTCTGAGTAGCTAGGATTACAGGTGTGAGCCACTGGCTCCTGGCTTCACAGTCTAGCTTTGACTCTACAAATCAAGTACCTTAATCTCGCTGAACTGGGCCACATAGTTTTCCATGGTCCTCAAAACCTGGTCAATCAGTTTCTCTTCATAGTCTTCCCAAAGGAGATCATTATTCTGTGGAAAAGAGGTGGAGGCCATGAGAGCCCTCACTTCTCAGCAGCCTTCCCAGGAAATACTCAGATCCTCCCTGCCAAAGAAACTTTTGTAGCAGTGTATTTAAAATATGTTAAGTTTCTGGGGAAAGAAAGAAAGAAGAAGAAGGAGAAGGAGAAGGAGAAGGAGAAGAAGAAGAAGAAGAAGAAGAAGAAGAAGAAGAGGAGGAGGAGGAGGAGGAGGAGGAGAGGAGGAGGAGGAGGAGGAGGAGGAGGAGGAGCAGGAAGAAGAAGAAGAGGAGGAGGAAGAGGAGGAGGAGGAGGAAGAGGAGGAAGAGGAGGAGGAAGAGGAGGAGACAAGCCAAACCTGCCCTCAGAAACTACTCAGAAAGAGATCAGACATATATTCAGACATAGAGAACAGAATCACACCATCAAAGCCCTGGATTCAAGAGCTTAGATGAAAAGTTGGATAATATGTAACTGCCTAAGATCATTTTCAAAAACAATCCATCTTCAGGAGATGAAAGTTCTAGAAAGCCTTAATGAGGTGAAAGCGGATCAAAGCCAGAGGAATCCACAGATTAGGGCACACTTTTTCTTTTCTTTTCTTTTTTTTGCCCATCCTAGGGCTTGAACTCAAGGCTTGAGCACTGTCCCTTAGCTATATCACTCAAGGTTAGCGCTCTATCACTGGAGCCACAGCTTCACTTTCAGCTTTCTGGTGGTTAATTGGAATTAAGAGTCTCACAGATTTTCCTGCCCAAGTTGGCTTTGAACTGTGATCCTCAGATTTCAGCCTCCTGAGTAGCTAGGATTACAGATGTGAGCCACCAGTGCTGGACTATGGAAAGTTGTTTTTGTAATAATTGCAGTTTCTTCCCACTGTCCAGAGGCTGAGGCAATCCAAATGCAGAGGTGAAGTACATTCTTAGATGATGATGTTCAGCTGAGCTAAGCTGAGCTGTGGACAGAGTTTATGCAGAATAGTCAGCAAGCCCAAACTGCCCTTACCCCGACAATGGCCTTCAAGTCCTCATGCCCATCCCAATCGCTGCTGTAGATCTCCTGCAGTGTCTCAGACACTCTCTTCGAACTGTCGTGCATCACTGAAAGCAGAGAATTCAGTCCTAACATGAATTTTCCCAGAGGGCAGTTTGAGGTCATTGCAGGAGAGACAAGCAGTAGATCCATTTCTAAGGTCAAACTTAGAAGGTTATCCATGAAGGATGCTGGATGGGGCTGGCTAAGAAAAAAATAAGAGTGCCTGGAGGCAAGCAGAAAGGAACCCAGGTGTGGTAATTTTGCAACCCCCAACCCCAGCAGGGCCACAAATGCCTAGTAATTCTTATGTACAAAAGACCTACCTTTAACTGCACTAAGGAAGTTCTTCAGGTCCTTGTGTAGCTTGTGGCCTTCTGCCTGAAGGGAAAAATAGCTTTGGTGACTAAAGAGACATTTTAATTTTTTTTAAGTGTTTTTGTTTTGTTTTGTTTTGTTTTTGGTGTTGGTCCTGGGGCTTGAACTCAAGGCCTGGGTGCCGTCCCTAGCTTTTTTGTTCAAGGCTAGCATTCTTCTACTATTTGAGCCACAAGCTCCACATCCAGCTTTCTGGTGGTTAACTGGAGTTAAGAGTCTTATGGCCTTTCCTGCCCAGGCTGGCTTTGAACCATGAGCCTCAGATCTCAGCCTCCTGAGTGGCTAGGAGTACCAGCACGAACCAGTAACCCTGAGAAGGCACCATGCAGACAGTGTAAAACAGTGATGAAACAGTTAAGAGTCTCACAGACCTTCCTGCCTCGGCTGGCTTCCAACTACAATCCTCAGATCTGTCTCCTGAGTAGCTAGGATTACAGGCACCCTACAATACAATGTATAGGAGATAAGTATCAGTTTTTGAGTTTTGAAAATGTGGTAATCAAGGTTTTAAAGAGCTTTGAAAGAATTTGGAGGATTATAAACATGAACGAATATTTCAGATGCTTTTTCGAAAGAAAACTTATTTCACCATGAAAACTTGATTTCAAAAAAATATTTGAGTAACAAAAACAATTACACTATTTTACATCAGTTCTCTATCCTTTTCTACCACAGGACTGAAGCCAGGCCCTCGTAGATGCTACACAAGAGTTGTACCCCTTGAACTATGCCTTTTGTTTGTTTGTTTGGACACAGGATCTTGGTACATAGTCCCAGCTAGCCTCAAACTCATAATCTTCCTGCCTCTGTGTCATGAGTACTGGGCTTACAGGTATGTACCACCACAGCTGGCTTACTTAGCATAATTCTAACAAATAAGATTCCTATTTTCTCAGTACAAAAATATCCTCAGCCTTAAAAGTATCACTGATCAAGTCTTTGACCATGCACTGCACAAAACAATGAGGTACTAACACTTTCTGTCACAGCCCAGAATGAGAATGCCTTCTGCCTTGCATTGTGCCTCAGGAAGCCATCTCCACTCATGTTTTAAAATCAAGCCTCTTACTCAAACGTTCTTCCTTTATGCTATTGTTCCTCCCCTTGGGGAGATGCAGTATAGGAATTTATGTGGAAGGGGCTGGTGGCAGGGCATGTGACATGGGGATAAGATGGCACATCTCTGACTGTCATTTTATTTCTCTGACCCATCCATCCTTCTCTCCCATCCAAGTACTAACCAGGCCTGACCTTGCTTAGCTTCTGAGATCAGACGAGATGGGGCGCGTTCAGGGTGGTATGGCCATAGACCTGTCCATCCTTCTCTGAAATGACTGCAGGCTGATTAATCCCAGCATCCTCTCCTTTCCTGAGATGGAACTCTTACAGTCCTATGTTCTCACTTGTCTGGGCGTCAGGTAACTTGGCTTTCCTCCCAACTAGCAAGTTATTCCACTTCTCTGGTTCGTTTCCTCATCCATAAATGTAGAGGTAAGGCCATTTCTACTCCAGATCTTATGGTTTTATCACTCTGCTCCATGAAACCTTGCCAAATTCTTGGCTTTGCCATCAAGAGTCTGAGTCAGTCCTTGCCACCCCTTATACAAACAGTCTCAGCCCTCAGTTAATGAACCACTCACGGCGGAAGCTTGTCCCCAGCAGCTAGCTACGCTGGGAAGTGGCTCATGGTAGGGCACTCACCTAAGCAGTCAGCTAGACACCAAGGACCAAAGAGACAGGGGATACTAGAAAGAACAAGAAGATTCTTGTCTGGACTTCCTTACTTGCTAGACAAAAATAGACTTATAGAAAACCAAATGCTCAGCAGAACAAGGGCAAAGAATACGATCAGGTCCTGAGCAAGTGTCTGATCTAGTGGAGATCTAGGAGGGAAAAAAAGAAGACTGTTCCATTTTTAAGTTACTATTAATTATTATTATTGTTATTGTCAGTGCCAGGGCTTAAACTCAGGGCCTTTACCCTAAGCCTCCAGCCTAGCTTTTTTTCTGGTTAATTAAAGGTAGAATCTTGAGAATTTTTCTGCCCAGGCTGGCTCTGAACCATAGTCCTCCAGGTCTCAGCTTCCTAAACATGAATTACAGGTGTGAGGCACACCATTATGTGCCTTCTGATGGAAGACTATAAGAGCATCTTTTTTATTTTCTGGAAATACCAGAGATTGCACTCAGGGCCTCATGGGCTTGTGAGGAAGGTGCTCTACTATTTGAACCACACACTTTTGCCACCACCAGCCTCAAACCTTAATTCTTCTACCTTTACCTCCTGAGTAGGTAGGATTATAGGCATATGCCACTTTACTCAGACCACTTATGTGATGTTTTTGCCATCAAAACAAACAAAACCAAAAGCTTAAATCTCAGCAGGCCTCTAAATCGATCAATTTACAGAAAATACGGGAGGAAGAACTATGTTAAGCCATAAAACTGAATCAGCAAAATATAAATTGCAGGGCCCTGCAAAACAGGCTGATTTCAATAAGTAAGCTACAATAAGAGAGGGATTAGAATCTATAGATTAAGAGATTCAACTACACATCCAAGAGGCTTAAACATGTCAAAGAATAGCTGATTTCAAATAAAAAATGATGACTCGGTCAGGGGAATCTGAATACTGACTTTGTTTAATTAATTAATTTTAACCTTTTTTTGTACCAGGCTTTGAATCATGGCCTTGCATGTACTGAGCAAGCATTCTACCACTTGAGCTACATCCCAGCTCTTGCTGGACATCTTCTTTTTGACAGTCATGGGGCTTGAACTCAGGGTTTGGGCACTATCCTTGAACTGCTTTGTGCTCAAGGCTAGCACTCTACCACTTGCTCCACAGCTCCACTTCCAGTTTTTGAGTGGTTAACTGGAGATAAGAGTCTTTTGTAGACTTTTCTGCTTGGGCTGACTTTGAACCACGATCCTTATACCTTAGCCTCTTGAGTAGCTAGAATTACAGCCATGACCTACTGGCACCTGGCTTGGACATCTGGATATTAAAGAATGATGCTATTTTTTTTTTGGATAGCACTAAAACTTACCCTTGGTAGAATACTTAATCTGAATTTCTGAATAGATACTTGTATCATGTTATCAAGTGAAAAGAAAGCAAGTTGCAAAACCATCTGCATGTAACCAGTTGTGGAGCAGAAGCTTATAATTCCAGCCATCAGGAAGCTAAGGCAAGAGAGTCCTGAGTTTGAAGCCAGACTGGGCTGCAAAATGAGACCCAGTTCTCCCCCCAAGAAAAAAAACAAACAAAAACCCCACAACAACAAAGCAATGAAATAATTTCACTTTTGTAAGCATCACATTTACTTATTATGTGTATATCTAGCTACCATACATATACAGCAAAACAATTTCAAGGATATGAAATAATGGTGGATGGTGGATGTAGATTAGGAAGTGTAAAAATTTATTGTTTTGAAGCTCATTTTCTTTTTTCCTGATACTGCCTTAGGATCTGTGGCATAGTACCTTGGCAATACTAAGAAAAATTACTGGAAGAGGGGCTGGGAAGGTGGCTCAGTGGTAGAGCGTTTGCCTTGCAGGCATGAGGCCCTGGGTTCGATTCCTCAGCACCACATAAGCAAAAAGAAAAAAGCCGGAAGTGGCGCTGTGGCTCAAGTGGTAGAGTGCTAGCTTTGAGCTGAAGAGCTGAGGGACTACGCCCAGGCCCAGAGTTCAGGCCCCACGACCGGACCAAAAAAAAAAGAAAGAAAAATTACTGGAAGAAAAAAAAAAGTCCTCTGAAAACAAATGCTGGTGGCTGACACTGGTATCTTAGCTACTCAGGAGGCTGAGATCTGACAACCACAACTCAAAGCCAGGCAGATAAATTTGTGAGACTCTTATCTTTAATTAACTACCAAAAAGCCAGAGCTGTGGTTCTAGTGCTAGAATGACAGCCTTGAGCAAAAAAGCTAAAAGACAGTGCTCAGACCCTAAGCTCAAGACCCAACAACAGCACAAAGAAAAAGAGCCCTCTCTCCCCCCCAAATTTCGGTAAGGATGCTTGCTGGTTTGTAAAACCTGCATTCTGCCACTTAAGCCTCTGTTTTCTTTATTCCTCCCCTTCTCCACTCTCCAGATTACCTGCTGTTGGTAGAAGTTGCTGGCATTTTGTTCAAATCGCTCATCTTTGGTCTCTACAGTTTTCCCCAATTTTTGCAGTACCTGGGGATATAAAACAGAAAAATCCCATAAGATGACAGTCAAATTATGATGAAAATGAACTACACAACTTATGAGTGGAGTTGGGAAAGAAAAAACTGGAAGAAAGCAAGGGAAGGGCTGACATTGTCCAAAAAGAAATGTACTCTTTATCTGACTTATTTAACTCTACTCTGTATATCACCTTTATAATTACAATAAAAAATTAAAAGAGGGTACCAGTGGCCTGTAATCCTAGCTACTCAGGAGGCTTAGAGCTGAGGATTGCAGTTCAAAGCCAGCTCAGGCAGGAAAGTCCATGAGACTCTTATCTCCAATGAATCACCAGAAAACTGGAAGTGGTGCTGTGGCTCAAATGGTAGAGTGCTAGCCTCGAGCTGAAGAGCTGAGAGACAGGGCCCAGGCCCAGATTTCAAGCCCCACGACTGACCAATAAATAAATAAATAAATAAATAAAAGATTACAATCAAGGGACTGGGAAGGTGGCTCAGTGGTAGAGTGCTTGCCTTGCATGCATGAGGCCTTGGGTTCAATTCCTCAGCACAACATAAGCAGAAAAAGCCGCAAGTGGCATTGTTGCTCATGTGGTAGAGCACTTGCCTTGAGCTGAAGAGCTGAGGGACAGCACCTAGGCCCAGAGTTCAGGCCCCATGACCAACAACAACAACAAAAACACAATTAAAAAAAAAGATTACAATCAAGTCTACTATAATCATCTATAGGCTTCTCTCAGAGTCTGGGATATGACTAAGGGCTCATACAATTAGCAATGCAAAAATGTAACATGTTGCTGACAAAAATGAGAGTGCTCAAAGTGGGCTAACTGGGTATAAGTGGTAGTGTGCTCATGAAGAGATATCTCATATTATGAATAAATAAGGTAAGCCAGGCTCCTAGTGGCTCACACCTATGATCCTAGCTACTGTGGAGGCTGAGATCTGAGGACTGTGGTTTGAAGCCATCCCAGACAGGAAAGTCTGTGAGATTCTCATCTCCAATTAACTACCAAAAAAGCTAGAAGTGAAGTTGTGGCTCAAGTGGCAGAGTGCTAACCTTGAACAAAAGAAAAACTTCCCAGAGACAGTGTCCAGGCCTTGAGTTCAAGCCCTAGGGTGGGCAAAACAAAACATAAATTAATAAATAATTAAGATCTAACTTTCTGGAATCTCATCGATTTTCATTGTTTCATTTTTTTAAATTTCTCTTTCTTCTCTTAAAACACCATTGGGGGGCTGAGAAGGTGGCTCAGTGGTAGAGCGCTTGCCTTGCATGCACTAGGCCCTGGGTTCGATTCCTCAGCACCACATAAGCTGGAAAAAAAAAGCCGGAAGTAGTTCTGTGGCTCAAGTGATAGAGTGCTAACCTTGAGATGAAGAGCTGAGGGACAGCGCCCAGGCCCAGAGTTCAGGCCCATGACCAGACCAAAACAACAACGACAACAAAAAAACACCATTGGGGATTGTATTTAGGGCCTTACACTTGCTTGCTAGATAAATACCATGTAAGCCATGCCTCCAAGCCCTTTTTCACATAGGTTATGTTCAAGGGGTAGGGTCTTGCTGGCTTGGGTTGCAATCCCCCTACTTGTTCTTCTGAGACAGCACTCAGCTATTGATGAGATGGAGTCTCCCAAACTTATTCACGTCCTGGACTACCTTGATCCCCTGTCTCCCAAGCAGCAGGAATTATTGCATCACAGCATGCAAGGCTTCTCACTGTTATTTAAAGTGTGTGGCTTTCGTTTGTTGTGGAGAGAGAGGGGGGAGGTAAGGAGAGAGGGAGAAGGAGAGGGAGAAAGACAGACACAGAGACAGACAGAAAGAGAGAGAGGGCACGCATGTGCTGAAGGAGCCTGGCTCAAGCTAAGCACATGCTCTACAACTGAGTTACACATTCAGCCCTAAAGCGATTCATAAGAGGCAAGAGAGAGGTCATTACATTAAAATGAGAATTAATGACAATAATGTAAAACATGAACCTTCCAGCCACAATGACAGATTTCTCTCCAGAGATGAAGTGGAGAGAGGTGGGCACAAGACTCTTCTCTCAGGAAGCCCTGCTATAATGCATTCAAAGCCCAGCACTGCTTGCTCATGCCTATAATCCTAACTAGTCAGGAGGCTGAGACCAGAGGATTGAGGTTTGAAGCCAGCCCATGTGACTCATCTCCAATTAATCAACAAAAAGCCAGAACTGGAGGTGTAGCTCAAGAGGTAGAGTGCCAGCCTTGAGTGAAAAAGCCAGGGAGCATGGGAGGCCCTGAGTTCAAGCCCGTCTCTCTCTCTCTCTCTCACACACACATATACAACTGGAACTCAACTAGAAATGAATGCTACCCGTGTCTGTCTCCTCTCAGGTAGGAAACACTACAGCCAACCGTCACACTGGTGTCAGTACAAGTGGTGACGCTGTACAGTCTGTCAGATGGGCTACTCACTCATAAACAAGTAATGATATGTGATAAGAAGGGCAGGAGTGGGGCTGGGAAGGTGGCTCAGTGGTAGAGCGCTTGCCTTGCATGCCTGAGGCCCTGGGTGCCATTCCTCAGTACCACATAAAGAAAAAAGCCGGAAGTGGCACTGTGGCTCAAGTGGTAGAGCGCTAGCCTTGAGCTGAAGAGCTGAGGGACAGCGCCCAGGCCCAGAGTTCAGGCCCCAAGACTGGACCCCCCCCCAAAAAAAAAGGAAAAAAAAAAGAAGAAGAAGAAGGGCAGGAGTCTGCTGCAACACCTATCTTGGAAAAAGCCACCATCATCCCCCCAGGTTTGAGAAATTGCTTTTGGTTACTTTTCCCTCACTCTCTTCATGGACTCCTCTGTAAACTAGCCTATGCTTTCTGGTCTCACTGGCAGAGCTGTAGTCCAGTATAACTAATAGATGCTAGGACCAGAGGCATGGCTCAAGTGGGAGAGCATCTGCTCACCAAGCAAAAGGCCCTGAGTTCAAATCTCAGTGCCACAACTCTTTTAAGAATAGGAGGAAAATAAACTATGACCCAAAATCTTAACAACAAACATGCACACAAAAAAACAAACCAAAGCCTTAGGTACATTGTTTCTTCCATAGCTTGCTGAAATAGGTCTAAAGTTTCTAATAACTACTAACTCCTAATTCCTGACTCTTCTCTGCTTAATTTCTATCAAATGCCCATTATATATCCATTAATAGTCAAACTCTAGCATGCATGCACAATTCCTATTGGCTGAAGGTCTCCCTACACAAACTACACTTTTCTTTTAAGGTTCATGAATAAGCCACACTGTTAATTATGTAGCAAGTTCCCTCTTTCTCAAAGGTCCTTGCTTGCTTTGTCTGCCAGGCAAATACCTAAAAACAAATAACAACCCAGTTCCTACTCCATATAGTTTGTAACTTTTATCTGCACCTACTTCATCCTCTTAATAAGTTAATCACTCCTAAATGCTTATGACTTTGGTTAGTTACCTTGTATATACCTCTATTTATTATTGTTGTTGTTGTTTATATGTATTTATCTATGTCTCCTTCTAAATAGATATTCACTTCTTTAGATCACCTAGTAACCAGCAAAACTATAGTGATCACAACAGAAGGAGTTAGTTTGGAATACTGTGTTGAAGAGTGAAGAGTCCAAGGATTCCAATGAGACAAGGACTTCAGCAAAGTCATGAGAGTAAGGAAATTCCTGACAGCTTCCTGGAAGGGCTTGCCTGTCTAATTTAGGGTGTGTTAGGGGGAGTGGTAGGGAATGTGGCTAGAAAGGCAGAGTGGTATCTCAATATTCAGGGCTTTGAATTACATCCAAGAGGACCCAAGCATTGGGAGCAGGGCCAGCTCCATGTAGACACTGTCCCTTGAGTGTTTGCAGTCTTACTGGTGGTGAGAGTAATGTGTCTCACTTCCTGATTAAGATCAAGAGCTCTCGGAGTCAGGTATCAACTCTCATCTTGGCATTTCCACTTACTGGTACAAGCTTTGGGACAAGTCACTTAACTCTTGAGCCTTGCTTTACAGAGTTTCTTTCCTTCATTAAGATAATATTTTTCAGCTGGTTGTTATAGGTGGTTCACGCCTGTAATCCTGGTTACTCGGAGGCTGAGATCTGAGGACCATGGGTCAAAGCCAGCCTGTGCAGGAAAGTCCATGAGCCTCATCTCCAATTACACACACACACACACACACACACACACACACACACACACTCTGAAAGTAGCTCAAGTGGTAGATCACTAACCTTGAGCAAAAAAGTTTAAGAACAATGCCTAGGTCCTGAGTTCAGGCACTAGGACCAACACAAAAAGGAAAAAAAATTCTCCTGGAGTTGTTGGGGAATTAAATGAGATTATGCATGTTAGCTTGTTTTCTCCTTGCTATACTACAGTAAGCAATGTCCATTCTTCCCATGTCTGGTCCCCACTCCTCCCATTCCCAGTCCTGGGGCTTAAACTCAGGGCCTGGGCACTGTCTACAAGCCTTTGTGCTCAAGGCTAGTGCTCTACCACTTAAGCCACAGCTTTTTTGGTAGTTAATTGGAGATAGTATCATGGACCTTTCCTGTCCAGCTGCCTGGCTTTGAAACACAATCCTCAGATCTCAGCCTCCTGGGTAGCTAGGATTACAGCTGTGAGCCACCTGCACCTGGCCTATCAGGCTCTTTCTCTCCCCTCTTCTCTCCTCTCTTTTCTTCCTCACCCCTCCCCAACAAAACTAGGTTCCCTACCAGAAAACTTGCAAAACCGCCTAGTTTAGTGTTAAGTACAACTCCTACTTCCCTTTTGCAACTCCTCCCTTCCTTTGTCTAGGGCTTGGTACTTCTTAGGTGAAGAGGTTAGAAAAGATGGAGAAAACTCAGTTCAGAGTCTGTGTTGAGAATGTCTGTGTGGGCCAGTTTTCCCAGTCCCCCAGAGCTCATGGCGTGGAGGGATGAGGGTTGGTGGGTGCTGAGGAAGCATTCCCACCTTCAATTCTGAAAGTGCAAACCAGAAACTCATCCCTCTGAGCCATCATTTCTTGCTATAAGCAAAT